CTGGGTTGTTCAAATGCTAAACTCATTCAGCTAGCTACTAACTGAAAGGTTGGAGGTTCAAGTCTACCCAGATGTACCTGGGAAGAAAGGCTGGATGATCTACTTGTAAAAAATCAGCCACTGAAATCCATAAGGAGCACAGTTCTTCTACTCTGCCACACATGGGCTCTCCCGGAGTCAGCCCTAACCAGATGGCAAGAAAGAGTGTAGAAAGTGTGGAGGCCCCAGGCAGCCAGGACCCTTTCCTTCCCCTCTCCAACCTACCCCAGCTTCACACCAGCTTCCTAGGATGGAATGTGTGTGCCTGTCCAAGCTGTGAACCATGCAAGGAGAAGTGAAGGTACACTGCTCTGTCTCCTCTCCATTGAGTCTCTTTTTTAGAGAAACACCCATCTGCTATTCTCAGTCCTTCACATGCCTCTGACTGCCAATCTCCACAGGAGACTGGGAAGCACAGTGGGAAGGACCTGCCCCATGTGGCCACAATTCTCCCTGGCAGGAGAGGAGATTCTGGTCCTCCATTCTGGGCTGGAGGCATGAAAGCCCCCCGCTCTTCAGTCTGGAAACGGGTAAATGATGCGTAATTTATGAGCACATCAGCCTGAAGTGCATAAGTCATATGTGCACAAAGGGGCCGGGTAAATATTTAAAGATTAGAACCAGCTGGGGAGAGACACAAAGGGCTGGGACAATGGGGGTCTCTCTGAATTCACTGTCCCTGAGCTGGGCCAGCACGGTTCAGTGTTGATGCACTCACTGGAGTTCCAGCCTTTGTCCTCTGAAGGGCTCTTGGCTGCCAGGCTATTCGTAGTCTTAACACAACTAAAGAGAGTTAAACAATCGCAGCCTCTCCAACCCCATCTGGAAACAATTGGCCAAGCCATTTCAGCTCTTTTGCTGTGTCCCAATAGTTAATTACAGGGAGCAATCACTTTATTCCACTTTGAAATGTATCTGCACAGGGGGCCCTATGCCTTTCACCTTTCAGTCACTGGCACCCACAAAGGCCTGCACTGCGCCGTTGGTTAGCACTGTCTGAGTTCCCTGAGGCTGCAGGAGGACAGGGTGCCCACTCAAGACCGGGAGGCCTTGGACTCAGAACAGCTCTCACCTGGGTCTTCTCATGGGGCTCTTGTCCTGGGGACTGCAAGCCTCCCTCCCCATCCTCCAACCCTACCCCACCCCACCCGGTCACACACACACACACACACACACACACACACAACTTTGTTTCCAAACAACTTGTGTCCTACAGTGTTTGTTCCTTGCCAAAGCGGGGGAGGGGAAAAACACAAGGTCACTTTTGCTTTATGTTCCCCAAGAAGAGAAGGAGGGGCCCTGAGTAGCATGAGACTCCCCAGAGTTTACAGAAGGAAATGTTCTTTTCTTGAACAAGCAGAAGGCAGCATGGGCCTCCACGGTGCCAGTTTGGACGTGTGCTCCTTTCCAGGAGCCTTGGGAGTCCAGATGCTAAAAATGGGAAAAGAGCGTGGCCTACATCAGGGCTTGTGTAAGCCCCGTTTTTAAGTGTGTCCTTCCCAGCGGCGCTTCGTCCTGTTTACTGTCTGAGAGGGCTGCCAGCCGCATCACACTCTAGCAGAATATTCGTCTTTTGCCCACCTTCGCTGCTTCCGCCCGCTGGCCCAGAGCCTGCTTCAGGGTGCACATGGAACCCAAGGGGTTTCCCATGCAGAGTGTGTGTGTGGTAGGAGTGGGATTCCAGTCTGGGTTTCAGGGAAGGGTTCTCGTAGAGATTTATCTTTTCCAATGATCTTGTCTGATGTTAAGAACTGACTTGAGCTTAGTAAGGGAATCGGTTGCTGGGGGACGAGAGCCTGAATTGGGGATAGGGTGGAAGCTGTCTCCCAGCTCGGGAAGAAGCGGGGCTAGAGATCGCCACCCTGGAAGCCAAAGGGCCCTCAGCCAGATGAAGGCAAAGAGCTGACCGAGGCGATTGTTTGCGATAGTTGAGCCATACTCCGGTCCGGAGACCGGGGAAGGGGGCCGTCAGCCCAGTTTGGGGAGAGCCTTAGCTGAGGATAGACCAAGGGAGGGGAGGCGCAGCGGGCGGCGCGCCGCTTGGGGAGGGGCAGCGGGCGCCCATTAAGTGGGCCAGGGCGGAGCGTGTCGACTGTGAATTCCGCCCGGGCCGCCTCTTGCCTCGCTTCCCGCAGCCAAAGCAGAACATTGCGAATTAGCGCATTTTGCGGTCAATTTTCCACTGCTTAAGAGACACGGCGCCACCCACGTGAGCCGCCCCACCCAGCGCGGCCAGAATACCGTGGCATTGGCTCAGGAAGGGGGTGGCCCCGGAGCAGCAGGTGCTGGGGCACGGGCGGGAAAGACCCGCGGGCCCCTTTATGGCGGTAGTAACTCTGGAGATGGGGCGGGTCAGGCGCCCCCGCGGCGGGCCGCGAGAGCTGCGCCTGGGGGCCATTGGTTTGCTAATGCGCCCCAGTTGAAAGACTCGGGCGGCGGTTTATGGGGAGGGCATCATAATTAGAGAACAAATTGCCCCGCTGCCCGCTCAGCCCTAGGGTCGGGGGCAGGGGGCCCTCCGGGGCGAGGCGCGCGCCCGGATCTCGGTGCAGATGTTCGGCAGCTGGAAGGCCGCGCGCGGCGGGGCGCCCGGAGTTTGGCCCCAAGGGGCGGGCGCGGCCGCGGCTTTGTGGGGCCGGCACAATGCCCTTAACACTAGGCTGCCCCCTTTGTGTCCGGTTGCGCCGCCTACGGGGCCCCGCGGTGCCTTTGTACCACGTAGCTACTGCCCCAATCTCGAAACGCACGGAGCAGACAACACCCGGCCCCACTGGCCCGGGCTTTTCAAAGTTCCCGGCGCGTGCCAGCGCTAGCCGCCTGGTCTGGCCTCGCTGTCCGGCCTTGGGTCCGGCCCGGCCCGGATCTAGTCCGAGGGTCCTGGGGCCTCGGTGGGAGAGCGCTCCGGAGCCGCGGTGGCTGTGGCGGTGGTCTGAAAGGGAGAGGGCGGGGCGCGATTCTCCACGCTGCGAGGCTCCTGGGAACTCCGCGGCCAGGCAGGACCGATCAATACCCCGGGAAGGGCGGGGCGGGAAGAGAGATGCTCCAACTCGGGGGATGGGTTGTTTGTGTGTCCTTAGAGCAACCCCCACCCCAGCGCTGAGAATCATGGAGGGCAGTAACTTCATTCTTCTAACGCAAAGCTCTCTTGGTGGTGGTGTGCCATGGAGTTGGTTCCAACTCATAGCGACCCTGTATAGGGTTTCCGAGGCTGTAAATCTTTACGGGAGCAGAAAGCCTCATCTTTCTCCCGCTGGTAGTTTTGAACTACAGACCTTGAAGTTCGCAGCCCGATTCCTAACCACTACGCTACCAGAGCTCTCTTAGAGAGACCTTTAAGTCCATGTGACTTGCCCTTTTCCCTCGCAAGCAGCGGAGTCCAATTTACAAACCCCCAAATAATGACCACAAAAGCCCAGTCAAGAGATGTCTCGTTTCCAACCCAGGGACTCTCGAGACATGTGTACTCAGCCTCTGCTACTGAAGACCAGCCTCCTGAGGAATCTGCTGGCTGGATAGGGAACTGGACCGGGGTACCTGTTCCTATGACCTAACCATCCAGGGATACAGCATATCATCCTTCGGCTCCCAAGGCCTTGAGTAATGAAAAGGGGCAATGGTCCCTCTGAAGCCCGCCCCCCAAAGTGAAGATTCTCTACAGCCATCTCCCCAGATTATCTGTTGGTCAAGTTGAATCCAACTCATAGAGACTCTGTATAGGGTTTCTGAGGAGCAGCTGGTAGGTTTGAACTGCTGACCTTATGGTTCACAGCCTAGTGCTGATACTGCAGCACCATACCAGGCAACCTCTTTCCCTCCTGTTCCTAGAGACTGAGAAAATGCCCCCACGAATGGACTTCTAGGCCTTCCTATAGGGTAGTCCAAGTTGCCCAGCCTCACTGCCTAGGGCTAAGGATGGGTTTGGGAGCCAGGTCATTTTGATTCAACCCCTATTCGGAGGAGTCCTGGGTTGGGTTCCATGGCCTACAGCATCACTGCCCATATTGCAGTTGGGTGCCATAGCGCTCCAAGCTCTTAGACCCCAAGCAAGGAGACCAGCTGTGGCCCCGCGGGCGGGCTGCACGCTTTAATGGGACATATGTTGCTGCATGGCCCCTTCGAGCATGGCCTACGCCCGGCTTTGAGCAGCCATAGGCAGAAAATCGCTGCATTGTCCCAACGTTAGGGTGGTTAATGCGGCGTCACAAGCGCGGCCAGAGCGTGAAGCGCTCAGAAAAGCCTCGCTGGCACTGCTTCCTGACTGGGCATCTTTATCAGGCCGCCAGAGGAGATGGGTGCACTGTCATAGTCATTAATGCAGCCCAGGCACCCTGGCCATGGATTTCCCCCAGGGCGACCTGCTGCAGTTTAGTGGGTTCAGTGGAGGAACCAAGATGAGACTCTGGAAACAAGGGTCATAGCTACACAGAAAGCAGACTGGGTGGGGAGGTCCACAGTCTGGAGCAGGCAATGGTGTGGCGGGCTCAGAAAGGGGAGAGGACCCCAGACATAGAAGTACTGGGGATTAGACAAATAAAGGAAAAAATGAGAAAGGAAAAGGGGGTCCGGTCCCTCAAGAGGCAAGGGGGGTCCGGTCCCTCAAGACGCAAGAGGGCTCCCTGTGGTGAAGTCATAAGGGAAAGGGGCCAAGCAGAGGGGGTGGGGAGTCTCTTGGGTGCATCCTTTCCAGTCCCCTCCTCCTCAGGGTTCCTGGAGTTCGGAATGGTTCATTGACATGTAAACGAGGGGCCCCTATAAATGCAGCGGTGCCTCCCTGGGGCACAGAGCTAACAGTATGGGCACAGAGACCCGAGGCAACCCTGCCAGTAGCTTCCGAAAGGTCTGGGGTCTGGAGAAACAGGGGGTGCAGAAGGGGTCTGCCCAGATAGTCATGGGCAGAGGGCATGAGGACAGCAGCCCTGCCCACAAAGATGTTGTCTTGTCCACAGATCTCCAAGCCTCTGATGGAAAAGAAACGACGTGCACGCATCAACGTGTCCCTGGAACAGCTCAAATCCCTGCTGGAGAAACACTATTCACATCAGGTGAGACCTGGCCATGTGGGGAGGGGCTGACCAAAATCCACAACCTAATCTTCCCAGGCTGTCCAGCTAAGAGCTTTGCCCACTGATTCATAGATCCGGAAACGCAAGTTGGAGAAGGCGGATATCCTTGAGTTGAGCGTCAAATATATGAAAAGCTTGCAGAGCTCAGTTCATGGTGAGGAGACCAGGCCTGGAGGTGGTGGGGCGCCCAGGAGCTGGGAGCGAGTAACTATGTATGGGATCAGTGCCTAGATATGATAAAGCCATATAGAGAGGGGATGGATAGAGAGGAAAGATGGGACAGGTGGCAATTGAGTGAGGAGAGGAGGTGACTCCATCCAACTCATTGTGGGGCGGGTGTGTGTGTGTGTGTGTGTGTGTGTGTGCAGCGGGAGACGCGAAAGGCAGACGGTAGGCGGAGGTCTGGAGCCAGGGAGAGGCATTCGAGGATTGGAGGCGTCTCACCGTCCCTTCTTTCTTTTCCTTTCTCCTTTCCCTCTACAATTCTCTCCTGACTTTCCCATCCCTTCGCTCCCATCCCCCAGGGCTCTGGCCAGTCCCAGGTGGCGCGGAGTACCGTTCGGGGCTCCGCGGCTGCCTGCCGGGTGTGAGCCAGTTCCTGAGGCGAGGTGAGGAGGGCGGCGGCCAGCGCTGCCCCCTGGTGCCGGAGCGCGCGGGCGGCAGCACCACGGACAGCACCAGATCGAGCTCCTACCCTGAGGCGCCAACTCTAAGTGGCCCTTGTGCCCACTCCGTCTGGGCTTCCATTTGGGCTCCGGTTACTGGTGGCCCGCGGTCCCCGCCACCCCAGCTTCTCCTTCCTAGTGCCCCCCACGATCTGTCCACCAGCGTCACGGCTCCTCAGCCAGCCTCGCACCACTGCCCCGAGAGCCCGGGCCCGGGACTGCGCGTTTGGCGACCTTGGTGAGGCCTAAGAGAGCGGAGTGCGGGGAAACCATGCGGCTGGGACTGATCGGGCCACATCGAGCCTGGGGCCCCAGGGACAGTTGTGGGCGCACAGTGGCGCCCAACCTCCAGCCCCACGTGCTCAAGTCGGACCCGCTCCCTCCTTCTCCCATATTCTAATGGGGCTGGGAGGGGGGGTCTCCAGCTGCGCCCCTTTCCCAGGGGCTCGGCCCCGCCCCGCATCAGTGCCTCAGTGGGAAGGTCGCGGTCCGCAGCGGCGCAGAGCGGACCCCTCGCAGCGAGGAGAATCGCTGCCCCGCCCCGGCCCATTCAGCCGGCCGCGGGCTCCCGGTTCCCACCGGCACAAAGCAGGCCGAGCCCCGCCCCGCCGGCGAGGGATCCTCACCCTCCACCCCCAGCCCGAATCCCGCTCAGCTCCCACCGACCCCCACCCCTCAGCACGCGGCCTAGTGCACGCGAAGGTTGGACTCCTCAAGACCCACCTTTTAGAAAGTTCAGCCCTCGAGCTTCCCCTTTGTGGCTCCGAGCTCTTGCCCCGCCCTTAACATGATCTCACGAGTCACCCCGTCCTGTCCCCAAAACGCTCCGCCCGGCATGATTCCTGGGAAAGACCCAGTTCTGGGTACCAGGTAGCGTCAGCCTAAAGACTGAAAGAGCGAACCGGAGCGCCTCTCATGGGAGGGGTCTCCGCTCCTACTCAGCAAAGACCACCCGCAAGCAGTATCAGCATGGAGCATGCTCAACCTCAGTTCAGCAGAGATCTCTCCTCCCCACGCCAGGATGCTAGAGGGCCTCGGGAGCGCTCTGTGCAGCGCCTGTTTGGTTAGTTATGTGTCTACGGGAGCAGAAAGCCTCATCTTTCTCCCGCGGAACAGCTGGTAGTTTCGAACTGCTGACCTTGCGGTTCGCAGCCCAATTCGTAACCACTTGATTACCACAGCACCTGTTCATGTGTACGTAAAGATTCATTGATGTGTTAGGAGACGACCAAATCCTAGTTTCTAATGGGTTGGTAGCCCAGGCCCGCAAGGGGCAGCTTCCGTTGCAGGGGAGAGGGGTTCCACGCCAAGCTTAGGAGACATCACAGGTTTTTTTTATCTTATTGTAATCCAAAATAAAGAGTGCTACCCGCTAGCGTGGGTATAAAGGTGCCAAGGAGATTCTAACTTTGTCTACTTTGATCCTTCTTTTTGAAACACAAATACCAACTTCTTATAGAAAGATTTTTTTGGTGTTGGGCTGCCTCTGACTTGCAGGTGCACTAAATCCGTTTGGGTCCAATCTACGACTACTCTATCACACCCAGCAGTGTCTGAGAGAGCCGAGCCGGGAGAGGGGCGAGGCTTCTGGCTGTGGTTGTCTCCCTGCCCTAGGTTTCCTCCCTGCGCCAGGTAAGGGCCGCTGAGATCAATTCTTCCGCTGACCACCAGGTGGCGGCCTTGTCATGTAGACCCAAAGGCACGGCTTCCACATTTCTAGGAAGGGGGCAGAGGGAAGGTTTCCGTTTCCAACTGGCCTGCCCAGGTCTCCCTCCTGCATTAACTGCTCTGGAGTTGCTAGCACCTGGAGCTGTTCCAGTGACAGAGGCTATTACTTGTGCTAATAGGGTCCGTCTTTGTTTTGGACAGTCCAGTGGGTTCTGACTCATAACTATTCTATATTGGATTTCCAAGGCTGTGAGTCTTCACAGGAACAGAAAGCCTCATCTTTCTCCCTGGAGTGGCTGGTGGATTTGAACCACTGACTTTACAAATAGCAGCCCAATGCATAACTCACTAGCCACCAGCTCTCCTGTAGGGCCTTTCTGTAGAGTAGAGCTTTGGTGTCCACCCCACATGTCCATTTCATTTGATGCTCCAGGTCCATCTCAGTCACTTGGTGCGGTTGGAGCACTTGCCTGAGAAACGGGACAAGTCAGAACCCAAAGAAAAAAAACATTATTGGAGGAATTTCAGGTCCCAGAGGGAGAGATAGCTTAGGGTATGTACTTGGTGGTAATGTCAGATTCTAGAAAGGTGTTTCCATGAAACCAGTCTCAGATGCCGAGTGCAAATCATAAAGGAGTTTTTATTGGGTCCTGTACAGAAGAGAAATGCTCAATTGTGAAAAACTACAAACAGATCCCTGGCTCTGGGCTGTGGGGTGGTATCCACAGAATGCCCTTGCTAGGTCCCTAGGGTCAAGCTCTTTATAAACATAGCCAACAAACCTGGAAACTTCACAAAGTATGTGGTGGGGCAAGCCTCAGACCTCAGGGTCTTGTTTTGGCTTCTCCTCTTTTTTTGTAACAATCTGAACTGAAAGGACTTTGGGGACCATGACCCCCTGAAAGTATTGCCGTTGGATATGGGATACAGAGTGAAAACTCAAGGTGACAAATGGGTCAGCCTGAGGGTAGGACTGTTGTTAGCTATGGCCCCAGCCCCCACATGAAATGTTGGTCCTTAAAGGCACAGCAGCATTGGCCAGAGGCAGCTTGTCCCATGGCCAGGCTGGACTTCTGTCCCCTGCCTTGCTCACCCATGGCCAGTTCCTCTCTCAGTTAGCTTTCCTGGGACTGCAGGGGTCTATGAGCCCTAGACAGTCAGACTCATGGTCCTGTGCCCAGTGACCTTCTCTTGGGCTGGAGCCCTGTGTGTGGGGTGAGGGGGTGGGTGTGGCCACCTGTGGGACAGAGACAGTGTTGCAAAGCCTAGTTTGTGAAGCAGGAGGAACGGGGTGCAAGCTGGCTCTGGGCTGGCCTAGGAACACCCACTTCAGGTTGACAGGTAGAGGGACCATTGCATGGAGCAAAGCAAAGGTCAAGAAGAGGCAGCTTGTGCTTCCACCTCCAGGTCACAGCAGCTTTGGGGACTCTCCTTGAGTCTAGGGTCTTTCTCCATGAAGACCCAGCAGGTCCCTCTCCAGGCCCCAGGGCAAAGCCCAGGAGGGAGATCAAAATCCTCTTCCTAGGGTGGAAAGGGGGGACTCTCACCTGCACAGTGGAGGATGCGGCTGGGAATGATTACGGGGTTGCGAACCCCATACCTTTCTTTGCGCGAGGACTTTCAGTCTTCATGTGGGGAGTCATGAAAGTGACTGACAGGTGGGGACAGGCAAAGATGGCATGTGATGAGGGAAGGGACTAACGGTGATCAAGGTGGCCATGGTGCCAACCAACAATGATGTGCAACAATGTTGTGCTTATTTGGAGTGGGGTGTGAGCTCCCAAGGGAATCTGGGGCACCAGGAGTGGGAGGCCTCAAGCCTATAAGCCATACTCCATGCCCCTCAGAGGCCAGGGCACACAGACCAGGAGATTTCTCCAAACTGCCCTGAGAGTTAACAAGGATCACCTGCTCATCACAGATGGGGAAAGTGAGGCAGAACAGCTCTGAGGCAGGGAGACCTGCTGAGAGAGCTGGTTTGGGTTCTGAAGACCCCTGTGCTTAAAGAACCTTGACATACATCCCCAGGGTGACATGTAGTACAGCGCCGAGGACAGCCAGTGGGGCAGTCGAGTGGCTTCAACTCCAGCTCCTCCGCGGGGCAGGGCTTTGTTCCTGCTGATGGCCGTCCTGCCCGGGACTTCCCACCCCATCCCCTGCCACAGGGCTGGGTGGGTGCAGCTGAGGGCACAGAGCCCTGCCTTTGCCAGCCCCACACACGGTCCTGCAGGTGCCAAGCATCTCAGTCCACCTTCCAGAGGTCGGCAGAGAGGCTGAGGCTGCCCTCTCCAGGGATGGCGTATGTCTGAGCGGCATGGGCAGGCTTCAAGTCCTGGGTGGGACACGGATGGAATCTTTGGTCTTGGGACCCGCCTGCTCGGCTCCGTGGGTTGGAGGGCCATCTGTCTTTAAGACGCTGAACCCAGCGAGTCCGAGTGCAGCGTGACATAGCCTGAGGACTCCGAGGGCGAGCTCAGGAAACTGCTGGTGCTGCCGCCGCCGCCCACCACCCGCAGGCCTCCTGGCTCCCCCCAAGAGGTACTCAGGCCAGAGTGTAAGGGTCCAAGGGGCGCGGGTGGGCGCGGCCTGTGGCTTGGCTGCAATCCACCTCCAGGGGGCGCCCGGGGGACAGCGGGTGGCCCCAGACCTAGGGGCGCGGGTGCGCGGCGGAGGGCCTGCGGCTCACGCTCGAAGTTGGTCAGGGCAAAGGCATCCGGCAGCAGTGAGGCCGAAGCGGAGCGGGAGCTGGGTCCCGGGCGACGGCGCGGGCTGCCGGGTGGAGAGTCGGCGGCACGACGTGGGCCGTTATTCAGGGGCCGCAGCGACAGGAGGCTCTCGGCCGAGCGGTGGCGCGGGCGGAATGAGGGCGCATCTTCAGCTAAGGCCAGCAGGCTGCCGCAGCGGCGCACAGGCAGCATTAGCTGAGCTAGGGCGGCCAGTTCCTCGCTGGAGCCCCAGCGGGGCAGGAGGGCGGGCAGCGGCACAGAGGTCCACACGTCCACGTCGTCGTGGGAGAAGCGCCGCGTGGGAGGGACCTGTGGGGACCGGAGGCCTCAGCGGCTAGTAGCAGGGTCTCAAGCTGCCCTTCTGGGAAATGGGTAGCCTGTGAGCTAGGGGCCAGGCGTTGAGCCCCGACACCCTAGTTGATCGAGTTATATGGGTGGGACAAGTGGCGCTCTCTCCAAGTGTGTTTTGGTGTCTGTAGCTTGGGTTGCTTAAGAAGGTCCCCTGAAAGGAGTGATGAACCCCAAGGAAGTAACATGGGTGCCAGTGGACAGCCCTCCCAGGGCACATGGGACAGGGGCTGGGGTATCTGACCTCAGCACCCCGCACAGTCAGTTCCCCATGGGTCAGTGAAAGCCACCTTCTGGAGCTGCCTGGAGCATGAGATGAGGTCAGAGAGAAAGGCCTTAGGGGGATCAGAGTACCCCACATTGATATACAGGGTGCCTCCCCCCCCACCTGCCTATCCCTACCTGCAGGTACTGCATCTTATCCTCTTGCAGGGGTTGCAGTGGGTAGAGCTGGGGCAGACCCCCCTCCAACGTAGAGAGTTCATACTTGGCCATCCGGTCCAGGGCCACAAAGTCCGTCCCATAGCCATAATCCAGGGAGCGTTCCAACACCAGGTCCTGGGGAACGCCACCTTCCAGGCTAGACTCTGCAGGACAGGGCAGAGGCTCAAAGCAAACTCCTAACTGGTGAAAGGGGAAGGGCTGCATCCTGGCTTCGGATCAAAGTTCGGTCACCCTTTAGCTGGGCAGGTCACACACTGAGCCAGAGTTCTCAGGGTGGGACCTGAATTTCCCCCAGAAGCTGCTAGGGGTAATGCATGCTATATGCAAGGGGCTAGCCTGGGTAACTGGGCCAACCTAGGGTAACAGCACTGCCATCTACAGGTGCCCTGGGACAGTTCACCTGGGGACTTCTGTGTGTGTGTGTGTGTGTGTGTGTGTGTGTGTTGGGGGGGGTGGGTAGGCCTAGTGGAACACATCCTGGTTTATAGAACATCTGATTAATGGGGATCCTGGACAGTCAAGTAGTATAAGGGGTGCCCTATGAGACACCCAGCCCCTCACTTGGTTCCCTTAGGGGCTCAAGTACATTTGGGATGCTGGAGGGTGGACCTAAACCAGCTGTGTTCCTGCTGGCCCAGAGACCACCCCCAGATATCCCTCTCCAGGACCACACAGGCCCCACCTCACCGTCATCCAAGTCCTCATCATTTGCCATGAGGGCCATGCACTTCTCCCAGACGGCCTTGATGTCAGCGCGGTAGCGGTCACAGGCCCAGAGGAAGATGGGTAGAAGCAGGGCCTGGGTCACTGAGCACCACAGTACGCACAGAACCATCCAGGGTGCTGCGGCATCCGCCCGCAGGCTGCTGAAACTCACCACCTGCACGAGGATGTGACCTGGTTCTGCAGGATCCTAGCCTGGACTCCCCTCTGTCCCATACAGCTGCCCTTCCAGACTCAGTGTCCCCATCTGTGGGGCAGACCCAACAGCCCCCTGGCAGGGGAATAGGAGGAGACGGTGGGGCAAGAGAGAGCAGTGTGGAGGGTCAGAGGCTCTGCCCACCAAGAGCTGCTTGCTGCCCACCTCAACCATCCTAACCCCCATGTGCACAACCGTTCACAGTGTACTGGACAGCACTTGGCATCTGTTACAGATTGAGTTGTAACCCCTCCCCAATTCTTGTGGATGTAAATCCTATTGGAAATGGGGTTTTCTTTGTTTTGTTGTTAGTTGTCTTTGAGTGGTCCCTTGTGTGCTCTGGTAGCATAGTGGTTACGAATCAGGCTGCGAGCCTCAAGGTCAGCAGTTTGAAACTCCGCAGGAGAAAGATGAGGCTTTCTGCTCCCATAGAGATCTGCAGCCTCAGAAACCCTGTACAGGGTCGCTATGAGTCAGAACCGACTCCAAGGCATATAACCACCACCATGTATGCTCCATAGTTTTCAAGGCTGCGACCTTTCAGAGGCAGACGTCTTCTGAGGTGCCTCTGGGTGGGTTTGAAACAACAAATTTTTGACTAGTATTCCAAAACCAAATCCACTGCCATCAAGTCAATTTTGATTCTGACTCAAACCTATACAGGGTTTCTTAGACTATAAATAGACAGTCTCATCTTTCTCCTGTGGAGCAGCTGGTGGGTTTGAACTGCTGACCTTGTGGTTAACAGCCCAACACCTGACTCACAGTGCTACCAGGCTCCTTTTTGACTAGTCAACACAAAACAAAAAACAACAAAAATATCGCCTTTGATTTCATCAGGCCTCATAGCAACTCTCCGGGGCCAAGTACAACTGTCCCACACAGGGTTTCCCAAAGCTGTAAATCTTTAAGAAAGAAGACTACCACATCCTTCTCCCACATTTTGACTAGTTGTTGTTCTTACGTGTCCTCGAGTAGATTCTGACCCATAGCGAACCTGTACAGGGTTTCCAAGGAGCAGCTGGTGGGTTTGAACTGCCAACCTCAGGGGTAGCAGTCCAGGGCTTCTCCTACAGCGCCACACCAGTGCTTAATTATTTGGGGGCACCCAAGGATTCTTTTTGTTATTTTAACAAGGCCATGTCAGTGTAGTGTGCCCGTACCTAATCACAGCTAGGCGATGAGCAGCATGTGAGTTGAAAGGGACTCGAACACAACACAGACACAGAGATAAGCAAGCAGCGCAAATGGCGGGAGACAGATGCCATGTGGAGATTGTCAAGGAATGTTGGGGGTGGAGAAGCAGAGACAAGTCCTGCCCAGCTGCTCATGTAGCTCCTCAAGGCTGGTCCTGTCTCAACCCTAGAGAGGACAGACAGAGCCTCCCCTAGAGCCCACGCCCTAAATGTGGGTATCCAACCGCCTAAACTGAGACACTTCGTTTCTGTCCATTAAAAGCACCACTTCTGGTATTTCTGGTACAGCAGTTCTCCAGCTCCCTTCCCCAGCCCTTGGGACCAAGTCCAGCTCTTCGGTAGCTATTCAAAGCCTATTCCATCTTTGCCCTGCCCCCAATGAAGGCCATAGAGGTGGTTTACTGTCCCCCTTTTTGTGATGAGAAACTGAGGCTTAGAGGGTCCAAGTCCCCAGCCTGCAGGCTCAGGATCTGTCTGCTACCCCAGATCTTTCATGGCCAGTGGCGTGCTCGAGTCCAGGTTTTGGACCCCAGACCACCTTTTAGATCACTGCCCAGGCCACCTATTTACATTGCTACCTGGGGAACTCCCATCTCCTCTCCCACAAAAGCCCTCACTGCCCCTCCCAAGAGTTAACATTGAACTATTTCCCAAACATAACGTGGTGGGTCAGATTGTGTCCCCGCCACAAAGACTAATTGAAGTCCTAAATCCTGGTAATGGTGAATGTGAGCTTGATTGGAAATACGGTCTTTGCAGATGTAATCAAGTTAAGAAGAGGTCATACTGAATTCGAGTGGACCCAAGCCTAACGATTAGTGTCCTTGTGATTAGTGTCCTTGTAAGAAATGGAACTTTGCCCATAGAGACACACAAGGACTCACTGTGATGACAGGGGCAGAGATTAGAATGATGAGTCTGCAACCCAAGGATTGTCACAAACTACTAGAAGTTGGAAGAGGTAAGAGCCTTCAGAAGGAACATGGCCTTGTCAACACCTCGATCTTGGATTTCTGGCCTCTTGAGCTGTTAAGAATCCATTTTCTGCTGTTTTCAGCCACTAAGTTTGTGATACTTGGTTACAACAGCCCCAGGAAACTAACTACAGAGAGGAAGTGTGGGCCACGGTGCCGACAACATGCTGGTGTTGCCATTTGCAAACTGTGCCACCCTTGGAAAGCTGCTAAACCTCTTGGAGGTTTGGCATCTCTTTGGTAAAATGAGCTAAGAATTCTCATCTTCCATGTGGGAGACCCTGGTTTGATTCCCAGCCAATGCACCTCATGTGCAGCCACCGCCTGTGTCAGTGGAGACTTGCATGCTGCTATGGTGCTGAACGACATATTGCATTAGGCGAATCTGCTGCACAAGACCTTTTTAAAGTGTTGAAGAGCAAAGATGTCAGCTTGAGGACTAAGGTGCACCTGACCCAAGCCATGGTATTTTCAATAACCTCATATGCATATGAAAGCTGGACAGTGAATAGGAAGACCGTAGAAGAATTGATGCTTTTGAGTTATGGTGTTGGAGGAGAATATTGAAAGTGCCATGGACTGCCAAAAGAACCAACAGACCTGTGTTGGAAGAAGTGCAGTCAGAGTGCTCCTTGGAGGCCAGGATGGCCAAACTTCGTCTCTAATACTTGGGACATATTGTCAGGAGGGACCAGTTGCTGGAGAAGGATATCATGTTTGGTAAGGTGGAGGGTCAGAGAACAAGAGGAAGACCCCCAACAAGATGGATTGGCAAAGTGGCAGCATCGATGGACTCAAGCGTGGCAATAGTAGTGAGGTTGGCCCAGGATTGGGCAGTATTTTGTTCTGTTGTGCATAAGGTCGCTATGAGTTGGTATTGACTTGATGGCACCTAACAACAACAACAATGGTGATGAACAGGTTTCAGTGGAGCTTCCAGACTAAGATTGACTAGGAAGCCAGGCCTGGCAGTTAACTTCCGGAAATCAGCCAATGAAAACCCTTGCGATCATAATGGTCCCATCTGTAACTGATCATGGGGTTGGTGCAGGACCAGGCCTGGGGTTGCCATGAGCCAGGGGGCCAACTCAATGTCAGCTATCAACAATCTCTATATAGAGAGGGTAAGGGATGGCTTCCAGACAGTAATTGTAACATGCCTGCAACACGGAATAGACCCCATTAGTCTCACCCCTCCCCTGCCCCGAGCTGAGCTGAGGTGGTTCCCCCCTCTGCTCCTGGTCCCTGTTGATGCCCCTGCTCAGAATCTATTCTTCGTCTCCCTTGTCACAGTCAGCATGGTTGGGTATGCCATCCTACTGTACCCAAGAATCCTGCAGCCTTCGGGCAACTGTCCTGCTGGAGGTTGGCGCACCAGGAAAACGGGGGAGATGCTACAGCCTGTGTGTGCCTCCTGGCTTTGAGGTTGACACCTGCCAACCCCTGTTTTCCAGGGACACAGTCCTGCTCAGCTGTTCACGTAGCCTCTCAGTCTGGTTCTTGCCCCTAGCCCCTTGTCCCCAACTCCAGATCCTTCTGAGGGGCCGTGCAGAGCCCATGGGTGGGAGGGGTTGGTGCACCCTGGAGTAGGAAGGCGCTGGAGCCTAGATTTTCATTCTAGGGCCTGGCCCCAGCCTCACAGAGACGAGCTTCAGGCAGCTCCTTGGGCTTTAGACCCTTGTTAGCAGCGCCTTCCCCAGACTAATCTTCACCTTGACCTTCCTCAGCCCTTATGATCAAAGCCTACTAAGCAATCACTCAAGACCTTTCCCAGCCTTGACCCGCCTCTTGTTCTAGGTTTCATCACTACTCCACTAACGCTCCCCATTATGCATTGAGTTATGTTCCCCTCACAAAATATGTGTTGGAATCCAAACACCTATACCTGTGGGTGTAATGTAACACACCATAATATGACTACCTTCCAGAATGCAATAGAATGTTTTGGTAATGAGGCCATACCTAATTACTTCTGAGCTATGAAAAGCAGTTAGACCCAGGGATGAGCACATACAAGAGAAGACAGGTGCTAGGTGACGACTGCCAGGGAACCAAGAAATACCCTGCTACTGACCTCTCTGAAGTGTTAAAAAAGCAAAGATGTCACTTTGAAAACTAAGGTGTGACTGGCCCAAGTCATGTATTTTCAATCACTTCATATGCATACGAAAACTGGGCAATGAATAAGGAAGCTTCAAGAAGAATTGATGCCTTTGAATTATGGCAAAAATTATTGGCAAAAAATATAGAATATACCATGGATTGCCAGAAGAATGAACAAATCTGTCTTGGAAAAAGTACAGCCAGAATGCTTCTTAGAAGCAAGAATGATGAGACTTTGTCTCATGGACTTTGGACATGCTATCAGGAAGGACCAGTCCCTGGAGAAAGACATCATGGTTGGTAAGTACAGGGCCAGCAGAAGGAGGAAGACCCTCAATGAGATGGATTGAGACGTGGCTACAACAATTGGCTCAAACATGGCAATGACAGTGAGGGTGGAACAGGACTGGGCAGTGTTTCATTCTGTTGTAAACAGGGTGTCTATGAGTCGAAACAGACTTAATGTGCAACAATAATAGACAAGGAAGGAACTGACATGGCAGAGACCGTGATTTGGACTTCTGCCTCCAGAACACCAAGAAAATACATTTTGGTTCTTTCCAGCTGCATACTTATGGCTTTTGTGTTACAGTAGCGCTAGATAACTGGTACCCCTCCTCTGTCCATCTGGGATCTGGGCCCACCAGGAAAATTCTGTCAACATGTCATTTCACCTTCCATACCCTCTTTATTAAAGGAGCTCTGGTAGCATAGTGGTTACTAGTCGGGCTGCTAACCTCAAGGTCAGCAGTTCAAAACTACCAGCTGTTCCATGGGAGAAAGATGAGGCTTTCTGCTCCTATAAAGATTTATGGCCTTGGAAACCCTATGCAGGGTTGCTATGAGTCAGAACCAACTGCACGGTACACTACCACCACCATCACCCTCTTTATTGAATGGGCCCCACGTGCAGAAAGATCCTGGCTTTGCAGTCTCCTGATGTGGGTTCAACTCCCCTTAGAGCTACCCTGACTTTGGTGGGTCACCTAGCCTCTCTGAAGCTCAGTTTTCAAATCTGTAAAATGGGAATGATGCTAGTGCCCACGTCAAAGGAGAAGGTTTGAGATCCTCCACCAGCACCCCTGCCCGACACACTCACGCACCAGCACAGGGAAGCCCATGAGGCAGTCGTAGATGACGACAATGGTGGCCACGAGGCCCGTGATCTGCAGTGAGGTCTTGGTGGGCTCGGAGCCATCGATGGAAGAGCGGCGCTTGCCTTGGGCATCCTCTACCACAATGGTGGGAATGGTGAAGGTGCGATGGTTGGCCCGGTGCCCCACCTGCAGAGCCAGTGTCTGGAAGATGGTGATGGTGGTGCAGACTACTCCCATGGCCACACTGCCGCCCACCAGCAGCAGGAAGCAGACGCCGAAGCCCAGACCAATCTCAGCCACGATGAAGCGGCAGCCGTGGGCGTAGAAGCGCTCACTCGTGTCGTGCCAGCCGACGGCAGGCAGGGCCGACAGAATGAAGGATACCATCCAGATGCCCATGACTGTGTGCACTGCCTGCTTCTTGGCGTTGCTCAGCCTGGCATGGGGGTATGGAGGGAGCCGGCATCACCCACAGGGTGTCCCCAGGGACTTCAGCCACCCCTGAGCCTCAGGACATCAGTCATGGCAAATCACCATGGCGGGGGCCCTGACCCTGTACAGGGGCTACTTGGGCACCTTGTCACCTGTATGCCTACACATGCATGCTCCTCTTGAGCCTCCTTCCTGTGCTGGGCACACCTGTCCCCACACCCAGGGCACGTGTGCTCACAGTTACACTTCTGTGCTCATGCCCACACTGGAACACCCAGGCTGGCCAGTGGAGTGGGGCTCACCGGTAGTTGACAGGCCAGCGGACCATCCACATGCGGTGATAGGAGAGGGAGGTGACGGAGAAGCAGGTGGCCAGGGTGAGGGTGTAGAAGGTGGAGACGAAGACCTTGCAGAGGCCCTCGTTCCACTCAAAGTCAGGGTGCTGCTGCCGCAGCTGCACCACAGCATAGGTAGTGATGGGGACGGCCACGTTGAGCATGTGGGTGGCCGCCAGGGTGCAGAGCAGAAACTCCAACGGCTTCCACTTCTTCTGCTTGGCCCCAACACTGAGGATGCCCCAGGCATTGGCCAGTAGGGAGAGGCCGCCGCATGCCAGCCAGCCCACTGCGCTGCCAGGAAGGTGCCGCTCCTCACTCATGGTGCAGACAGGGCAGGAGGCCAGGTGGTTGGGGCATCCTCCTCCAGACGGACCTCGACTCAGAGCAGCAGCCCTCTTACGCAGCGGCTCCAGGGCACCAGGGACCAAGAGCATCTGCAGGAGGGAGGCCAGTAAGTGCTTAAATTGTTGACACTCTGGGGCCCCTGGAGGGTGTGAGGTGGGAAGGGTCACCCTATGTATCACTTCTTGTATGCCAGAACCAAAAACCAAACCAGTTGCCATCAAGCCAATTCTAGCTCATGGTGACCCATGTAGAACTGAGTTCCCTAGGGTTTTCTTAGCTGTCAGCTTTATAAAGTAGATCACCAAGACTTTATTTTGTTTATCAGTGTTTAATAGTGGTGTGGTAGAATCCTGGTGCGGTGCTGAAGGATAAGCACTGGACCATGAGATCGGCTTGAACTGCAAGCTTGGTGATAGAAACTCACCAGCTGCTCCTTGAAAACCTTATACAGGGGCTGTATGGGTCGGAACCAACTCAATGGCACTTAACAACAACAACAGTCGTATGGTGCTATAGGATAAGCACTGGACTGTTAATTGCAAGGCAGTTCAAACCCACCAGCCGTTTTTTAGAAACTCTATACAGGGTCACTAGGAGTTGGAACTGAGTAGACAGCATTTACCACCACCACCACCAGGGATGGGAAGGAGGGAAAAAAGGGGGCATTAGTGTTTAGGAAGCAGCTGAGTTTCTGTTGATGGGGATAGGGATGGAAACGTGACAATGACTATTGATGCTGGCTATATAGGATTGATAGAACTGGTGTTATATCACTAAACTGTAAAATTATTCAATTGAAAAATGTTAAAAATGCTAAATGTGAAAAATGTTCAATGGGCCAATGCTGTATTCTAAGTATTTCTCTGCTATTCGTAAGGTTTTCAGTGACTAAATATTTGGAAGTGGTTTGTCACTCCTTCTTCCTAGTCTGTCTTCGTCTGGAAGCTCATCTGAAACCTATCCACCATGGGTGACCCTGCTGGTATTTAAAATACTGGTGGCATCGCTTTCAGAATCACAGTATTATAAGTATTTTTACAATTAAAAATAAATAAATAAAAGTCATGTCCTGGCCTCAGGTCTTGCATGTAGGGTCCTCTGGGATAATGGTCAGTATCATGGCCTGGATGGGTCAGGCAGTGGAGTCTGGAGATAGTCCAGAGACCAGACCTGAACTCTTAGGAAGAAGAACCAGGGACACAGGATGCTGGGTGGGTAGGAGGCAGGCTTCAGGGAGGCTCCATCTTGCTAGAGCAGACTGGATGGTACGTTCCTTCCTCTGCCTTTCCAGCCTCCAAGCCCTCAGCTGCCTTCCTGAGTGGAGCTCTAACCTGTACCTCTGGATCCAGGTCCCCTGGACAGGCCCTTCAGGCCACAGTCTGGAGCAGGAGGCATAGGAAACCCTATGTTCTGTGCAGGCCTAGCCTGTCTCCCCACCCCCCGAGACTCTGTCTACTCTCATTTGCTGCCTTTCTCCTACCCCAATGCTATGGGCACATACACAGCTACATGACCACCAGGGACCCCACTGCTGCCTTACCCAGGACCCTACACTTAGGACTATGAAACCCAAAGCTGTCCCGGCTAGTTGAGGGCACCCCCAGTTTGTCTGGTCAGCACTTCTGCTGGTCTGTCTGTGGCCTCACTTTCTCTGGACATTGAGGGAAACCAATGGGTATGTCTCTTTCACCTTTGTGCCCCACCTTCCTCGGGGTCAGGGCGGGGGTAAGGAGTCTAGTCTGGATCACATCACAACCCTCCTGGGAGAGGATAGGCAGAAGACTTTGGCAGGAGGAGACTTTGGGAGGGAAACTCCCTCCCAAACATTTATTAGGTTTCTGCTTGCAGAGGGGGGCTCATCCCTCATCCCAGACAAAGGTGGGAGGCAAGATTGCCCTGATGGGGGACCATCCCCCACCACCATTCCTGAGACCAGCAGACCTCCCAGATTGCAGCCTACAGAGGCCAGATGAAGCAGGCTGCAAGTTTCTCCTCTTGCTGTATCTGTTTTCTAATCTGTGAACTGGAGGTAACAGTGACTCCCTTGGTGACTGTGGGGACTGAATGAGCGATTGTAGGTAAAGTGCTTAGAACAGAGTCTGGCACCAAGCAAGCACCTGATAAATGTTTACCAAGTCTGTTCTCAATCCTCCCTGGCTCATTGAGCTGTCCTGTCTCTAAGGGCCAAGATATTGAGCTTAGAGGCTGCTCAAACGTGTTCACCATGAACAGCTCAGGGGAGCAGAGGCCATGCAGAGCTGTCAGACTCTGGGCTGCTCCTGGGTGTTCAGAGTGGGTGGAGTGGGCCCACAACAGATCACAGACTCTAAGTGTCCCTTTGACTATCAAATCAGAGCCCAGCTCAGTGGGTACCTAGGGGGTAGAGGTGAACATGTGTTTCTATCTGCCTTGCTGTCAGACTGGGAGGCCTCCTCCCTCAGACTACCCAGAAGATCTGTTGAGGGACTCCTGTGACCCCACACACCTTGCTCACAGCTGGCGGGGAGTGGCCAGGAAGGCAATGTGGGCGGCCACTGCACACCCCTTCACTGTGGCAGTTATGCCTGCCTGTCTATCTGAGCAGGAGGTGTGCTCTAGCAGACAGACACATCCGCTCTTACAAATCAGCATGCCCAGCAATCTTGTATGATGGGTAGGTACTGTTTCACCCTTATTTTAAGGTCAACCAAACTGGTGTGGTGCTGTGGGTTAATGCACCAGATTGCAAGGTGGGCGGTTCAAGCTCACCAGCTGCTCCTGGGAAACCCTATACAGGGTCACTATAGGTCGGACCTGACTGGACAGCACTTAACAACAACAACAACAACAAACAGAGGTAGAGAGAGGTCACACAGTCATTCAGCTGGGCCAGGATCTGAAGTCCTTGCCTCTCAAAAAAACCTAACTGATAAGTTGGGGAGCAATTAGTCTCCTAGTCCTGCTGTCCCCATCCTGCAGATGAATAATTTGAACAGAGCAGCTCAGAGTGACAGGACTGGGTCTGAGTTCAGGAAAGATGGAGAAATCACTGTAGAGTGAGCAGAACTGGTTACATGGGATCAGAGCATCCCCTGCCTCTAGATTGGTAGCTACTTACTGACCCGTCGGCCCCCAGGGAACATGTCCACTTGTAGCCCTGTATCTGGATGCAGGGCCTTGTTGGGAAGTTTCTCCTGAATTACAACAAAGCTTCCCACAGCATTTGAGATGAAGCTTCCAGCTTCCCCCAGCCAGAACGTGCACACTTCCAGCACAATGCTGGGCCATCTGCAGCTGTGACCTGCTCTCAGACCCACCACCTGCTGGGAAGGCTCCCGCTCCCTTCCTCCCCCCAGGGCCTGTGGGCAGGACCATGGCGTGACATCACTTCTCTGGGCCAATGAAGTGGGGCGGCTCCAAGGCTCGATTGCGCAACAAAGAGAACCCACAACTTGAAAGGATTCCCCGGGCTCTGGCTGTGCCCTCCAGGCCTTGTGGGCCTGCTCCCCAAGGCTGTGCTTAGCACCGCTGGCCGCTGCCCATCAGCTTCGACTTGGCTACGGCTTCGCAGAGTCTGGGCAGGATCAGTTCAGAACCCTTGCCTCACTGCCACGCCCCCCCCACCGCCACGCCCGCCCCTATTCCAAGGTCCCAGCTCTGAGTCTGGATCTCCGCCCCAAATCCGCGCCACCCAACTTGGTCCCCAGCACCCCTCCCCCTGTACTGTTCAGCACCGGAGGCGCGGCCGGGGAAGAGGACACTGGCAGACCAACGGTCCCCGGGTGTGCCTAAGCTGAGCTGGGCAGGGGCGGGCCAGGACCCTAGTCTACCCCCTGCTTCCCCCCACCTTCAGGACAGTGAGGAACAGAGGGAGGGCCGACCTCAAAGTTGGCCCGAAGGTCCCCAAGTTGGGGGCTTTTGCAGCCCCGAGTGGGGCCCACGCGCCCTCCGACAGCCTCCCTCCTGCCCAGCCCTCCCGCCGCTGCCCTGAGCAGGGCGGTGCCGCTCACCCTGCAGTTGGGCGTCCAGGGCGCCAGCGCTCGGCTCCCGCCTTCTGCTCTGCCGCCCGCGCCCCCCGGCCAAGTGCTGGCTGCCGGGGGCTGCGGGGATGGCCTGCGGCTGAACGGCCCGAGGGCCGGGGCATGGTTGCGGTGTTCCCAGTGGCGGGTGGTCGCTGGGCTCTCCTTCGGCCGGTCCGCCCCCTCTTC